AATTTAGAAGGGATATGGGAGATAAATCAAATAGCTGATATTAAAAAGCTGATGCTTTTTCTGTAGTAAACAAAACATTTAAAATCACCCTGTGACCATACACAAATTGGGGGTTCCTCCTAAGAAAATCCCAGTATTATGTCATCTAAGCATTTGAAGGGCTCACTATGACTTTTGAGTGTGGAGAGCAGTCTTTGAATTCTGTATTTTTCTCCTTCTTTGCCTTTCCCTTGTTCTTCTATGTGTTCTCTACACCTATCAACAAATCAGCATTGAACAGCAAGTCTCACCAGGCATACCTGAGAGGAGAGAATTTACAGACTGACTATAGGGATACTGAGTCTTAAGACTATATATATATGTATTTTTGAGATGGAGTCTTGCTCTGTCGCCCACGCTGGGGTGCAGTGGCACGATCTCGGCTCACTGCAACCTCCACCTCCCGGGTTCAAGCGATTCTTCTACCTCAGCCTCCCGAGTAGCTGGGAGTACAGGCACGAACCACCACACCTAATTTTTGTATTTTTAGTAGAGACGGGGATTCACCATATTGGCCAGGCTGATTTGGAACTCCTAACCTTGTGATCCGCCTGCCTCGGCCTCCCTAAGCGCTGGGATTACAGGTTTGAGCCATTGCGCCTGGCCTGAGTCTTAAGACTATTTCACAGGTTGCAGGTGGGCAGGAAAAAGAGTTACTTCCTTGGCTATTCTTCTGTCTTCCAGAGTCACAGCTAAAGTCCAGCAACAAAACTCTACAGTCAGTTAAGATAAAGACCCCTACATGTGAAATACAGATGACTTATTCTGCACTGCTAAGTGAATGAAATGTGAAACACCTGCTTATAAAAACAAACTTTTCTTCCACCCAGGCATTTCCTTGGCTATCATTTCATAAACATAATTAAGCCTGAACTTTGGTCACATCTGGAGTTTGACCTAACTGTATACCGTTAGTGTTATGTGTTGGTTAATTACAGGTTGAGCATCCCTACTACAAAAATCTGAAATCCAAAACACTCTGGAATCCAGTTTTTTGAACACAGACATGATGCCACAAGTGGAAAATTCCGTATCTTACCTTGCGTGACAGGTAACAGTTAAAATATAGTGAAAACTGGCCGGGCACGGTGGCTCACACCTGTAATCCCAGCACTTTGGGAGGCCGAGACGGGCGGATCACGAGGTCAGGAGATCAAGACCATCCTGGCTAACACAGTGAAACCCGTCACTACTAAAAATACAAAAAACTAGCCGGGCGTGGTGGCGGGTGCCTGTAGTCCCAGCTACTCGGGAGGCTGAGGCAGGAGAATGGCGTGAACCCGGGAGGCGGAGCTTGCAGTGAGCCGAGATTGTGCCACTGCACTCCAGTCTGGGTGACAGAGCGAGACTCTGTCTCAAAAAAAAAAAAAAAAAAAAAAAAAAAGTGAAAACTGACCAGGCGCGGTATCTCACGCCTGTAATTCCAGCACTTTGGGTGGCTGAGGCGGGCCATCACTTGAGGCCAGGAGTTTGAGACCAGCCTAGTGAATATACTGAAACTTCGTCTCTACTAAAAATACAAAAAATTAGCCGGGTGTGGTGGCACATGCCTTTAATCCCAGCTACTAGGGAAGCTGAGACACGAGAATTGCTTGAACCCAGGAGGTGGAGGTTGCAGTGAGCCAAGAGCATGCCACTTTACTCCAGCCTGGGCAACAGAGTGAGACTGTCTAAAAAACAAAACAAAAACTATATATATATATATATATATGTACACACACACACACACACACACACACTCACTCAAAACTTTAATGCACAAAAGTATTAAAAATATTTTATAAAACTACCTTCACCCTAAGTGTATAAGGTGCAAATGAAACAAATGAATTTCATGGTTTTAGACTTGGGTCCCATCCCCAAGATATCTCATTATGTATACGCAAATATTCCAAAATCTAAAAAAATTCCAAAATCCAAAATATTTCTGGTCCCAAGCATTTTGGATAAGGGATACTCAACCTGTACTGACTTGAAAGTTGAACATATCAGAAGGGAAACAAAACATCAGACAGGAGAAGGTTTACAGGGTGAAAACCAAAACCTGAAGCAAGTTTCTTTCAACCACTGGTGAATGAAAACATGATTTCCAATACTTACTTTAAATGAAAATCAAGCCATAAGGAGAGTTTAGTCCTACACATGTACTACCAGTCCCCTGACAGTGGTTTCTGCATTAGACTGGATTGGTACATTGAATTAAAAAGTGGAAACTTGGGCTGGGCACGGTGGCTCACGCCTGTAATCCCAGAACTTTGGGAGGCTGAGGTGGGTGGTTCACCTGAGCTCAGGAATTCCAGACCAGGCTGGGCAACATGGCTCTACAAAAAATACAAAAACTAGCGGGGCATGGTGGCATGTGCCTGTGGTCCCAGCTACGCAGCAGGTTAAGGTGGGAGAAGCATCTGAACCCAGGGAGGTCAAGGCTGCAGTGAGCTGTGATCGTGCCACTCCACTCCAGCCTGGGCAAGAAAGTGAGACCTTGCCTCAAAGAAAAAACAAAACAAAAGACTTTCCAAAATGATGAGTGCAAAGTGCATTCATTAAGACAAGGTGGAGGCCAGGTGCAGTGGCTCACGCCTGTAATCCCAGCACTCTGGAAGGCCGAGGTGGGAGTTCGGGACCAGCCTGGCCAAGGTGGTGAAACCCCGTCTCTACTAAAAAATACAAAAATTAGCTGGGTGTGGTAGCAGGCACCTGTAATCCCAGCTACTCAGGAGGCTGAGGCAGGAGAACTGCTTGAACCCGGGAGGCGGAGGTTGCAGTGAGCTGAGATCGTGCCACTGCACTCCAGCCTGGGCAACAGAGCAAAACTCCATTTCGAAAAAAAATAAAAAAATAAAAAAAATAAAAAATTAGCTGGGTGAGGGGGTGCACACCTATAGTCCCAGCTACTCGGCAGACTAATGCAGGAGAACTGCTTGAGCCTGGGAGGTTGAGGTTGGAGCAGCTGTGACCGTGCATGCCACTGCACTCCAGCCCAGGTGGAAAAAAAGAAAGAGATAAGATGAGGAAAATATAACCCCTATCTATTACTTTTTCTGAATTAAAGGATTCTGAATTATATGTTTAGACTAATAAAAATCAGTAATATTCACTGCATGACCTAATTTTACTTGTCATTGATTTGCTATTTAACCTCGAGCAAGTCACATTTTTTCATTTATATATGTGAGCACAGGCATTTTGCCTACATTTTGAATTTTTTTTTTTTTTTTTTTGAGACAGGGTCTTGCTCTGTGGTCCAGGCTAGAGTGCAGTGGTGTGATCTTGGCTCAATGCAACCTCCTCCTCCTGGGTTCAAGCTATTCTTGTGCCTCAGCCTCCTGAGTAGCTGGGATTACAGGCACCCGCTATCATGCCCAGCAAGTTTTTGTATTTTTAGTAGAGACAGGGTTTCACTATGTTGGCCAGGCTAGTCTTGAACTCCTGACTTCAAGCAACCCGCCTGCCTCGGTCTCCCAAAGTTACAGGCGTGAGCCATTGCACCTGGCCTTCTTTCTTTCTTTTTTTGAGACAGTCTCACTCTGTTGCCTAGGCTGGAGTGCGTGGATTGATCTTGGCTCACTGCAAACTCTGCCTCCTGGGTTCAGGCAATTTTTCTGCCACAGACACTCGAGTAGCTGGGACTACAGGCGTGCACCACCACGCCTGGCTAATTTTTGTATTTTTAGTAGAGACAGGGTTTCACCATGTTATCCAGGCTGGTCTCAAACTCCCGGCCTTAAGTGATTCACCCGCCTCGGGTGATTACAGGCGGGTGATTACAGATACCACTGTACCTGGCCTAAAATGTTTTAAAGCAATGTTTCAATACTGAGTAAAAAACTAAAAATGGGAGGTAATATCTTAGATAGGAAGCACTCAAATTATTGATTAATGACCTAAGCATGCTGACGTGTAGGCCATTTCTTCTTAATCTTCTCTAGGTCAGGCAATTGCAAGGAAGAAACTCAAGGAATCGCTACTTTCCAGAGGTGACATGGGAGGCCAAGCCAAACGGAGAAAGCCTGGAACAATAGCATATTTATAATGAGATATAGGCATGGCTTTCATATATTTGGGTGATTGGTACAATAACACAAAAGTACTTTGGCCTAAAAGGAAATAAAAGACTTCTGGGTGACTATGGAGATCATTCTAGGGACAAATTTGCTTCAGCTCATTAATCCGGTAACAATGCTGCCACTGTTCCTGCCATTTTGGCTCTCTTAAATATATATAACACGAATATGTGCATGTCCATCTGTGTATTGCTATCTTACTGACTGCTATCAGTTCTGGAAGGTCAACGATTAGGAATTCAATTGATGATACAAGTATACAAGGAAGATTTAAGAGTTCCCAAATCTAATTGAAATCTGGAAATTCTAAATTCTCTTTGACATTCTGTTCCCCTGCCATCCTTACTGGCTGGCTGACAAGTCAAAAGAGGCTCCTGCAGTGGGACTACAGAGTTCAATGAGCTGTGCATTCAGGCGCCGCAGAGGAGGAAAATACAAGCCATACACATACAGAGAATCCAAACACACACCACATCCCCATTCATCCACTGGCAGAGGACAGCGACCTCTTCATTCTGAATCTCCCACTGGCAATCAAGAATTGCAAGTTCTGTACAAACTAGGAGGTGACAGCCACAATAAGGGGTCACTGTTACTGTTTCCTTTTATATGTCTTCTAATCATTGTCAGGGAAACTGTATTACAAGTTTTGGTCCTTGTGCTGGTTATTGAAGCATCTTTCGGACTCCAGAGCTACTCTTCTATAGTATGTGTTGTGGGGCCCAGACTCTGCAGGCTGCAAGCTGATACTTCCCTAAGAAGAGTTACCTGTTGGCTCTAACTCACATACACCATCCATACCACACACACACACACAAACATGCACCACACACACAAACCATGCATACACACACCATACACACAGGCACCAGATACACTTAGACCGTCACTCAATGATACCGGATTTTTTTTTAACTTGGGTTTTAATTAGGTACATAAATAGCAACATGAGAACGAGGAGTTCTAAGGCTTGTACATTATCTCTAGGTGAAGGGATTCCAGATTAGTTTGCTTGTAGGATGATATCACAGAAGATAACAGAGGTCTGGTCTAGTTTTTCCTGAAGAAGAAAGCCAATTTAATACATTCAATACTGACTTCTCTGCCATTTTTCTGTAGAAATACTGATTTATTCTATGGAGTTTCCAATGTTTACCTATAACTAAAAGAAGGAAAAGAAAAACATAAGTAAACTGTGCCAGAAAAAATTTTGCATCATGAAAATTCTTCAGATTTAAATAGAGAAACCAGGCTGGGCGCGGTGGCCCATGCCTGTAATCCCAGCACTTTGGGAAGCTGAGGCGGGTCGATCACCTGAGGTCAGAAGTTCAAGATCAGCCTGGCCAACGTGGTGAAACCCCATCTCTACTAAAAATACAAAAAAATTAGCTGGGCATGGTGGCAGGTCCTGTAATCCCAGCTACTCAGGAGGCTGAGGCAGGAGAATTGCTTGAACCCAGGAGATGGAGGCTGTAATGAGCTGAGATCATGCCATTGCACTACAGCCTGGGCGACAAGGATGAAACTCTGTCTCAAAATAAATAAATAAATAAATAAAGAGAAACCATAGACAATATTTACATCACCATTATATAACCATAAGAAACATGAGCCAGAGAAAACTATAATTATTCCCATTTTACAGATAGTTAAACTAAGAATCAGAAAGAAGGCCGACTGTGGTGGCTCACGTGTGTAATCCCAGCACTTTAGGAGGCCGAGGCAGGTGGATCATCTGTGGTCCAGAGTTCGAGACCAGCCTGGCTAACATGGTGAAACCCCATCTCTACTAAAAATACAAAAAATTAGCCGGGCATGGTGGTGGGCGCCTGTAATCCCAGCTACTCGGAAGGCTGAGGCAGGAGAATTGCTTGAACCCGGGAGGCAGAGGATACAGTGAACTGAGATTGAGCCATTGCACTCCAGCCTAGGCGACAGAGCGAAACTCTGTCTCAAGAAAAAAAAAAAAAAAGATTTTGCGTTCCATCAATAGTACATATACTACATTCAGATCCTCAATTGGCTGTGTATCTGAGCGTAATTAACCAAATGGATGGGTGAATAAATAAAAAATAAATGTCTAAATGGCACAGTACACATCACATCTGAAAATTAAACAACTACATTTCCATCTATCTGCTGGAAAGCATGATTACATCACCCTCAGTTTGATGTGTAATTTTCCTCACATCACCCTCATCATACTTTTCTGGAATAAAATACACATATATTCAAAGACAAGTCAAAGACAAACCGAGTCTTCTCCAGATTGGTTTTTTCATAATTTTTTTTTTTTTTTTTTTTTTTTTGAGATGGAGTCTTGTTCTGTCACCCAAGCTGGAGTGCAGTGGTGCGATCTCGGCTCACTGTAACCTCTGCCTCCCGCGTTCAAACGATTCTCCTGCCTCAGCCTCCTGAGTAGCTAGGATTACAGGTGCCCGCCACCACGCCCAGCTAATTTTTTATATTTTTGGTAGAGACAGGGGTTTACCATGTTGGCCAGGCTGGTCTCAAACTCCTGACCTCAAGTGATCTGCCTGCCTCAGCTTCCCAAAGTGCTGGGATTACAGCCGTGAGCCACCACGTCTGGCTTTTTTTCATAATTTGTAATGAATATACTCAGCAATTAGAGATTTCTTTCTTTTTTTTTTTTTTTTTTGATTCAGAGTTTCGCTCTTGTTGCCCAGGCTGGAGTGCAGTGGTGCGATCTCGGTTCACCGCAACCTCCACCTCCCGGGTTCAAGCGATTCTCCTGCCTCAGTCTCCTGAGTAGCTGGGATTATAGACATGTGCCACCATGTCTGGCTAATTTTTTGTATTTTTAGTAGAGATGTGGTGGGGCAGGCTGGTCTCGAACTCCTGACCTGAGGTGATCCGCCCGCCTCAGCCTCCCAAAGTGCTGGAATTACAGGTGTGAGTCACCGTGCCTGGTGCAATTAGAGATTTCTAAATATTTTAGAGGCCAGTGACTATTCACTTGATTTTTTAATATACAACTAAAAATTCTTAAACATGTAAACTACTAGCTTATTTTTTCTATCTCAGTTTATTAATCTGTTTTTGTCTTCGGTAGGAATTTGACAGATTTATTGCATTGTTAAAAACTAAAAACTGGAAACAACCTATGTTGATAAGGATTAAGTAGATCATGGTAGTCCATACTAGGAAACCATTAAGCAACTAGAGAAGGAATGGGTAGATCTATAAGTACTGAAAGGGAAATATTTACACAATATGTTATATAAAACAAGTTCATTCATTCATTCAACATAGCTTAACATAGTACTGTCTATGGCATTCTTAGCAAAAAAAAAAATTGAACCTAAGTCTAATTAAGCCTTCAAATCCAACTATAAGTTTATGGGAAATATAGAGAAGAAAGGAACCAAGAGATAAACAGAATGATACTAAATGGATACATTCGGCCACAGCCAGAACATGAGAAATTCTTTTTTTCCCCTCCCAGCTCAATCCTTGTAGAACACAGGAAATTCTAAAGGACAAATAAGCCAGGTTTTTCAACAAACAAATAGCAAGGAACAGAGAGGGAGCAGAAACTTTTACAGTTCTAAGAGACCTACCAAACACAACAGGCAGATCTTATTTGGATCCTGGTTCAAACGAACCAACTGTAAAAAGTTATTCATGGAACAACCAGGAAAATGTGTACATTGACTGGATATTAGATGATGTTAAGGAATTAGTGCTAATTTCTTTCTTGCTTGCTTTTTTTTTTTTTTTAGACAGAGTCTCTCTGTGTTGCCCAGGCTGGGAGTGTGCAGTGGCACGATCTCGGCTCACTGCGACCTCTACCTCCCAGGTTCAAGCAATTCTCCTGCCGCAGCCTCCTGAGTAATTTGAACTACAGGTATAAGCCACCATGCTCGGCCTTAATTTCTCTTTTTTCTTTTTTTTTTTTGAGACGGAGTCTCACTCTGTCACCCAGGCTGCAGTGCAGTGGTGTGATCTCGGCTCACTGCAACCTCTGCCTTCCGGGTTCAAGCGATTCCCCTGCCTCAGCCTCCCGAGTAGCTGGGACTACAGGTGCACGCCACCATGCCTGGCTAATTTTTGTATTTTTAGTAGAGACAGGGTTTCACCATATTGGCTAGGTGGTCTCAAACTCCTGACCTCATGATCCACCCGCCTCAGCTTCCCAAAGTGCTGGGACCACAGTCGTGAGCCACCGCGCCTGGCCCCGGCCTAATTTCTTTATGTATGATAATAAAATTACAATTATATGCCTTCAGAAAGTTTTCTGTGCAGCTACTCAGAAGGGTGAAGTGGGAGGATCACTTAAACCCAGGAGTTGAAGTCCAGCCTGGGTAACACAGCAAGATCCCATCCCACCAGATAAATAACAGTAAAAAGAAAGTTTCCTGTGAACTTGCAGAACAATATGAGGAATATGATCCCATTTTGTCAAAAAAACAAAAACATGCATGTATGCATGAAAATATTATAAATATATAAATTTATTTAATTTATACATTTTAAATATAAATAAATACATATATATTTGTTTTTGAGACAGGGTGTCACTCTGTTGCCCAGGCTGGAGTGCAGTGGAGTGATCATGGCTCACTGCAACCTGTTTCTCCCAGGCTCAGGTGATCCTCCCACTTCAGCCTCCAAGTAACTGGGACTACAGGTGTTTGTCATCACACTCAGCTAATTTTTAAGTTTTTCTGTAGAGACAGGGTTTCGCTATATTGCCCAGGCTGTTCTTGAACTGCCAGACTCATGTAATCACCTACCTCGGCCTCCCAAAGCGCTAGGAGTACAGGTATGAGCCACTGCACCCGGCCTATCTATCTATCTATCTATCTATCTATCTATCTATCTATCTATCTATCTATATTTAAAAGTCTGGAATGATACACCAAACTATTAACAAAAATTACCTCTGGAAACAAGAATAAAGCGGCCAGACATGGTGGCTCATACCGGTAATCCCAGCACTTTGGGAGGCCGAGGCAGGTGGATCACCTGAGGTCAGGAGTTCGAGACCAGCCTGACCAATATGGTAAAACCCTGTCTCTACTACAAATGCAAAATTAGTTGGGCATGGTGGCGCATGCCTGTAATCCCAGCTACTTGGGAGGCTGAGGCAGGAGAATCACTAGAACCTGGGAGGCCTCTGAGGCTGCAGTGGGCGAGATTGCACCACTGCACTCCAGCCTGGGCAACAAGAGCGAAACTCCATCTCAAAAAAAAAAAGAAAAGAAAAGAAGAAAGGATAAGACAAGCTTTTAAAATAGTTAGCTAAAAACATTTTTTACAACCAACACGAATCACTTTTATAATTAAAAGCTACGCCTCCTCCAATGAAGATCTAAAAACAATAAAGAATGAAATCAAGGTTGTGTATTACAGCAAGCTGAACTCTGGTGCAGAGTATCTTTGAAAACTGAAATGGATACTTACCTAATTTCCCTTTATTCTATGTCTTTTTCATTGTCCCTGTACAGAAATATAACCATTCTGGCTGACAAGGATTTAAAAAAATGAGAGAAATATAACCGTATTAAAAGTCAAGTCCCTAGAGGACATGTGTCACTCTGTGGCTGCTCACCCTCTAGACATCCTTCTAATGGCACATCCCATGCATAACTGGCAGATATGCATTCCCATGCATTCAACAGAGATACTGATTCTGGGGTGGCCTTTGCCTTTTACCAACTCCCCGGGTAATAGTTTGTATCTGAGAACCTACTGATTTTGGGTTACTGTATGAACGGCTATGCAGTGAAAGAGGAACTGGATTTGTTTTCTGTGACCACTAAGGAGACATATTTTTGCTTAGCAGAAGAAACAGCTTCCAAAAAATCAGAATTGTCCCAGGATGGCTGCCCCATGGGGTGAGTTTCCCATCAGTGCTGGTGTAAAAGGAGGAACATACAGGGCTTCAGGGGAGTCTGCTTGAGGCTGGGGGTTCACTTTCAAATTCTCAGTTTATGTGACTCTTTGGGTCTCCAAAAATATAAAGAAAGCTTGAAGAAAAAACCCTTCAAACTCAGGGTTTTCCTAAATTTTAAGTAGGGGCCATGATTTACAATAAATGTAACACCAATTTTCAAAAAATTTTCTGATTATAAAACACATATTCATTGCAGAAAATTTTTAAAATACAGAAAGTTATAAAGAAGAAAAAATAGAAAAATCATCATACCACTGAACGATATACACTTTCTGTTGTATCTCCTGGCTTCTTCCCCTCTATAAACATATCACACTACCTTTTTTTCATTTAACAATAATTGTGCACATGTTCCCATGCAATTAAATACTGTAGAAACAGAATAATAATATTCCACTTTATGGATATACCATAATTAAGCCATTTTCCTATAGTTGAATATCTAGGTTGTTTCCAATTTCAATTATAGTATTCTAATTACCAGGAAATCACAAGTGCTATTATACAATTTTTCAAATATACACAAACAATATAACTACTGTTTTGAGCCTCTGTGTAACTGTCATGCATTCCAGTGTACACTGAGTATTAGATAAATACAAGTGTACTTACTATAATAAAGTGTTGTTTGAAAAAAATAAACCTAAGGAATAATGACACTTTCCATTTGTTTGAAATACATTTGTAGACAAATCCCAACTGTCTGATTCTAGCTTGTCTAAAAAACCCAGGTAATATCAGTGGAACAAACACAAATATATAAGTCACAGCATTTAAGCCCAGAAATTAAAGATGGAAGAAAATATGACCCTTATGTTTTCTTTTTTTTTTTTTTTTGAGACGGAGTCTCGCTCTGTCGCCCAGGCTGGAGTGCAGTGGCGCGATCTCGGCTCACTGCAAGCTCCGCCTCCCGGGTTCACGCCATTCTCCTGCCTCAGCCTCCCGAGTAGCTGGGACTACAGGCGCCCACAACCGCGCCCGGCTAATTTTTTGTATTTTTAGTAGAGACGGGGTTTCACCGTGGTCTCGATCTCCTGACCTTGTGATCCGCCCGCCTCGGCCTCCCAAAGTGCTGGGATTACAGGCGTGAGCCACCGCGCCCGGCGACCCTTATGTTTTCACATCAGTGAAACTGTTTCACAACAGTTTCAACTGTTACAATTAAATTAAATTAATTAAACACAACTCATTTCAGCTGGCACTACAATGCTGAGAACAATCACAGAGATTTCTTGTTCTTTACCTGATTAAGATGGCAGAGCAAGGAGTTTTCTACTTAGTTCCAGGTGAATTCTTCACATTTCCTGGCTTTTAAAACAAAAGAAAGAGCTTGAATGCAGTTTGAAAAGAAATAGTGCAACTCCTTAGTGTCCTGAGTATTTGGCTGAACATGAACATTAAAAATTATTATGCGGGACAGGGTCAAACTATTTTATTGAGGACTTGGGGGGTTGTTGAAGAAAGGCTGAGGAGGACAATGAGATCCCACATTCTCGCAGTTGCTGACCATTAAATATTATTATACTGCAAAGTGATCCATCTCTCAGTAAATTGAAGAAGTTACTAGGGCTCTCTGAGGGCCCTGCTGTAGAATGACTTGGGCAGAGAGAGCAGGAAATAAAGCGCCATTAATCCTCATTATGCAGATTCAGCCAAACAGTTGATTCTATTAAAAAAATCAATATATCTTCCTATTTTATTTCCTGAAATAAAGGTTTTACACCTACGGGAAGGCTTCCTGTAGGTATTTACTCCATGCGTTATTCACCATTATCCACCATAAGGGCCAATCCACAAAACATGTTTACTGTGAAAGAAGTTAGACCACACCCATTCTGCCTAGTGGCCATCCGAGAACATATAATTAGGTCATGTAATCCATAAGAAGCAGTGTAAGAAAAGCTTCTAGTGGGAAAAGTTCACGTGCTAAACTTTTAAGGCCTTACTTTCTTTTCTATATGTTTTTTAGACTTTAATTCTCAAAACACATTAATAGAGATCAGATGGCAGTGTGAAAAACAGGAGGCTGCAGCTGGGTGGGCTACAGTGCTATGATTCTGTTGTATAGACTTGGAGCAGTTTCTCCCGGTGCCCCTCGTTCATAGTTATTCATGGTTGAAGGAAGGGGAAAAGGTGAGAAAGCAGGAGCACGTGACTAACCCTGTCATTTCAGAGCACGGTTTCTAGGCAACTTTGGGGCTCCCTGGAGTGGCTGAGAACTGGTCTATAAGTACTGTTTTATATCCATTGTCCCAGCATAATTAATAGTGTCCCCTTTCACTCTCAAGAGTATCCTGGTTTGCTGCGTGTGTTGGCTCACGCCTGTAATCCCAGCACTTTGGGAAGCCGGGGTGGGAGGATCCATTGAGCCTAGGAGTTCAAGACCAGCTTGGGCAACATTAAAAAAAAAAAAAAAAAGTTTTAAAAAAATGAATATCCTAGTTTTGATGATAAAGTATATGGTCACCACATCCGCTTGATGATGGAGTTCTGGGAAACAAGGCCATACGAACTGCTTGGTGGACCAATGATCAACAGACAATTCTCAGCTCTACTTGACATTCTGAACAGGAGTGCTACAGGACTGAGAATCTGCGCCCTTCTCCTCCAGAGCCACTCCCCACCCCGCCTCCTCACATGCATGCACACAAGCAAACACACATACACATACGTGAACACACACCCACCGACACCCCAGAGGCCTTTTTGCTGTTGCTGGAAATTGCCACACTCCCTACTGGGACAAGACCTTTGCAAAATATACCCCTTGACCAAGACCAGTCAATCCCAATTTTTGCCTAGCTAAATGTTATTCATCCTTTACATCGAGGCTTTCTTTGTACCCTGTCCTTCAATTTTGCAGAATCTTCTATTCCCTTTCACAGCACTCATGTACTTCCTGATTGTGTAATTATTTCTTTCATGTTTGAGTCTTTCATTAATCTGTAAGCTTCATGAGGGCACACTATCCCTAGGGCCTCCTAGCACATACTATTCAAATATTTGTTGCATAAACAAATCGAAAGCCGGGGCAGTGGCTCACATCTGTAATCCCAGCACTTCAGGAGGCCGAGGCAAGTGGATTACTTGAGCCCAGGACTTCAAGATCAGCCTGGGCAATGTGCTGAAATCCTGTCTCTACAAAAAAATACAAAAATTAGCCAGGTGGGATGACACATGCTTGTGGTCCCAGCTACTCAGGAGGCTGAGGTGGGAGGATCATTTAAGCCAGGGAGGTTGAGGCTGCAGCAAGTTGTAACTGCACCACTGCACTACAGCTTGGGCAACAGAGTGGGACCCTGTCTCAAAACAAACAAACAAACGGAATGGGGTAGAACTTAGAGATATTATGACTGTAAAAAAGTTTGGGTTTCTATTTTCTTAACACGTTCATGAACACGAATAACACTTTCTGTTAGCAAAATTAAAACTTTAAAAAAATCAAAACATTGATTTCTAATTAGTATGACTGCCATGTGAAGGCTGATTGCCAGCCAAACCTTTGAGGTACAGCAGCCTGCTGAAATGTCTGGGTCCCTCACCAGATTAATGAAGAACAAGAAGAGAGAAAAAAAGGCTTATGAGGGCCAGCGAGATAATCATGTCCAACAATTGGGTCTGGCATAAAAACAAGGTGGTTCTCGGCAGGGCGCAGTGACTCACACCTGTAATCCCAGCACTTTGGGAGGCCGAGGTGGGCGGATCACCTCAGGTTGGAAGTTCGAGACTAGCCTGAACAACAGGGAGAAACTCCAACTCTACTAAAAATACAAAATTAGCAGGGCATGGTGGCGCATGCCTGTAATCCCAGCTACTCGGGAGGCTGAGGCAGGAGAATCACTTGAACCCAGGAGGCGGAGGTTGCAGTGAGCCGAGATCACGCCACTGCACTCCAGCCTGGGCAACAAGAGCGAAACTCCATCTCAAAAACAAACAAACAAAAAAACAAGGTAGTTCTCTACCTAAATATAGTTTAGGTCTGAATTAACATACTGCTTGCCAAATACTTCCAATGATAATCTTATATATTCTACTATCTATACTCGCCAGTACCTCAATCTAAAAAAAAATAAGATGCTAAATTCACAAGCTTTTTTATCTTTTGGACAATAAGAAAATGAGCAAACAAAAGCATTCTTCTGATTCAGGAAAACAACTTTGTTGCTAGGAAAATTTCCTTGTTTGGTTACATATCACTTACAGTATAACAAAACATCACAGTCCAATATCTCATTAAAAAAACATTGAGCCCATCCACCACCCTATTACAAATCAGATCTCTCTTGGCAGAGAACTCCAAGATCTCAGACAAAACAACATTCTGACTTCAAAAAACAGTTCGTGATTTAGCACAACCCAGAAATCAATTTTTTTTTTGCATTTTCAGACAGAGAAACAGTTTTATCTAGAATATTTTATAACTTAACCATTTTAATACATATCTGATTTCAGTTTTTATTTTCTTACCACGTCCATGAACACAAATGACAACTTTTTTTCTTTTGAGACAGAGTTTCCCTCTGTCACCCAGGATGGAGTGCAGTAGTGCAATCTCAGCTCATGTAACCTCCACCTCCTGGGTTCAAACGATTCTCCTACCTCAGCCTCCCGAGTAGCTGGGATTACAGGCGCCCACTACCACGCCCAGCTAATTATTATAGTTTTAGTGGAGACAGGGTTTCACCATGTTAGCCAGGCTGGTCTCAAGGTCCCGACCACAGGTGATTCACCTGCCTCGGCCTACAAAGCGCTGGGATTACAAGCGTGAGGCACCGTGCCTGGCCACAAATGACAATTTCTGCTAGCAAAACTGAAACTTTTTAAGAAAATCAAGACACTGATTTCTAATTAGTATGCCTGCCATGTGAAGGCTGATTGCCAGCCAAACCTTTGAGGTACAGCAGCCTACTGAAATGTCTGATTCCCTCACCAGTTGAATTATTTTAAACAATTACTTAACTTCTCCAAAATGCAGTTTCCTCACTTATAAATGGAGATAATAATAGAACCCACCTCAAAGACTCTTCCTGAGCAAAGAGCTTAGCGCCAAGGGCCAAGCTCACAGCAAGTAAGTGCTCAATAAACATTATCTATCCTATATGGTAGGCCACTTTATTTTTTGGATGAAGAAAATAAAAGGTAAGGATAAATGACCTGTTAAAGATCCCAACAAAATTCTAGTTTACTGGATGAGTAGGCAGAATAATGGCCCCTCAAAGATGTCTTCTATTTCTGGAACCTGTGACTGTTACCTTACATGGCAAAAGGAAATTAAGGTTGCATTGGAATTAAGTTTACTAATCAGTTGCCCTTAAAATAGTGAGATGATCTTGGATTATCTGGGTGGGCCTGATTCAAACATATGAGTGCCTGTAGTCTAAGAGGGAGGCAGAAGAAGGGGTCAGAGGGGGGACCTGCAAAGGACTTGTTGCAGGCTTTGACAATAGAGGAAGGAAGCTGGAAACAGCCCTCAGCCAGCAAAACAGACCTTGGTCCTACAACCTCGATGAACTGAGTTCTATCAACAATCTAAATGATCAGGAAAGAAATTCTCCCCTAGGGCCTCGAGAAAGGAACGCAACCGTGCTGACACCTTGATTTAGAATTGGACTTCTGACCTACAGAACTAAGATAATCATTTGCATTACTTTCAGCCTGTAAATTTGCAGTCATTTATTTTGGCAGCAATGGAAAACTAAAACAATGACATAAGAACTCCTGACTACAGGGTATGGTTCCATTTTCTATTAGTGGACATTATCTTCTCAGGCAGAAGCGAAAATGTGCAGTATCACATGAGTGGTGGTTAATGACAATCATGTGGCTAGAGTCCATCCATTGCATATGTTCCTCACACAGATAACCTTACTTAATCCTCAAAACAGCTCCAGGAGGGACTATGCCAGTTCCCACAGTGCTGGGGTAACTTCCCAAGGTTTCAGGGCTAGTTAGAGGCAATGGTGGGGTAGGAGTCTGGTGCTCCTGCTCCTCAGTCCACTGGACAACGCTCTATCCTGCCCACTGATACCAATAGTGCATTCCTTTCTAAGGAAGAGATGACAATTATTATTCAGGATTTCTAACTTTTCGTTTTGCCAAATAATGGTGTTTTTTAAAAAGAAAGAAAAAATCATTTCAAAATCATTTCCTAATACCTGTAGTTCTTAGAATTTTAGACAGCAAAAAATTACAAAGAACACAAATTCATAACTTTGTGGAAAACCCATCAAGCTGTCATTTAAAAAAAAATACAGTGGTAAGAATACTTAACATGACATCTGCCCTCTTGGCAGCTTTTTAAGCGTACAATACAGCACTGTTATCTATAGGCATGATGTTGTGCAAGGGGTCTCTAGAACTTATTCTCCTTGCTTGACTAAAACTTTGTTGATTACCAACTCCCTATTTCTCCCTCCCCCAATCCCTGGCAATTGCCATTCTATTCTCTGCCTCTATGAGTTTGACTATTTTAGATACCTCATACAAGTAGAATCATGCAGCATTTGTCCTTCTGTGACTAGCTTACTTCAAAGATGAACATTTTAAAACACATGACTTACTTTCAGCCAAACTTTGCTGTGTTTAGAGAGCCGAGGAATTTCTAATGGAGGAAGAAAAAGCAGTGCATGTTTACTCAGGGTGGTGGTTGCTGCTTCCCTTTCATTTTCCTGCTGAGCCAGCAAGGGCCTGAATAAAACTATTAACAGCTCAGCTTTAGAAGTTCTGCTCAGTTTTCATGTTGGTAACAGGTTTATGCTTCTTTATTAATTTCCTGCCCTTTAAATAATTAGTGTTGGCCTTTAACAGTCATTCTACAATTCTGTGATAGTAATTTGTTGCATTAAAAAAAAAAGATAGTGAAAAACTAAAATATGATATTTATTGAGACATACTGCTGTGTTTAGCTAATTATAAGACAACTCTAGGCCGGGTGCGGTGGCTCACACCTGTAATCCCCTTCGAGGCCGAGGCAGGGGGATCACCTGAGGCCAGGGGTTTGAGACCAGCCTGGCCAACATGGCAAAACCCCGTCTCCACTAGAAGCACACAAAAAAATTAGCCAGGTGTAGTAGTGAATGCCTGTAATCCCAGCAACTTGGGAGGCTGAGGCGGAAGAATCGCTTGAACCCAGAAGGCGGAGGTTGCAGTGAACCAAGATGGTGCCATTGCACTCTAGGCTGGGCGATAGAGCGAGACTCCATCTCAAAAAAAAAAAAAAAAAAGACAACTCTAGTCTGGTGCAGTGGCTCACGCCTGTAGTCCCAACACTTTGGGAGGCTGAGGTGGGTGGATCACTTGAGGTCAGGAGCCCAGGACCAGCCTGGCCAAGATGGTGAAACCCCGTCTCTACTAAAAATACAAAAATTAGCCAGGCGTGGTGGTGCATGCCTGCAATCCCAGCTACTCGGGAGGCTGAGGTAGGAGAATTGCTTGAACCCAGGAGGTGGAGGGTGCAGTGAATGAGATCGCACCACTGTATCACTGCACTTCACCCTGGGCTATAGAGCAAGACTCCGTCTCAAAAAAAAAAAAAAAAAAAGACAACTCTAAAAGAGCCATCTGTGACCCTGAGGACTGACACCCACAACTGGCCTTCATCTCTGATACTGAGACCTTGGGTTAGGACTATTCTGAAAGGGTTTCAGATTAGCAATGGACAATCAATAAGTATTTCATGCTTTTATTAAGCTCCTAGAGTCAAAGAGTGAAAAACCATAATGGAAAAGGTCAATAAATCAACATGAAGAACTTCTGATCATCGAGACACCAAAACTGAAAAGACAAGTCATATTGAGAAAAGATATCTGCAAACATCTGGCCGAAACTATTAATATCTAGGAAAAAAAATAAAGAACCCTTATAAATCAATAAGGGACAAATGACCCATATAAAAAGTGGCCAAAAGACATGAACAGGAATTTCAAGAAGAAGTCAATAAACCTGTGAAAAAATGTTCAACCTCATTAGTAATCAGGGCAACGTAAATGAAAACCACGATGCGAAATTCTGGGAACATCTTCACATGCTAGATAGTGAGGTAACTATCCAGACTACTTGGGTCATGTCAAGAGGACTCAGAACCAACTTCCACTAACAAAATGGGACAGTTTGAACTTGAATAAAGACCAAGAATTACAAAGCATTCAAAACTATCAAATATGTTTAAATCTATAAACCCATAATGATTTTTAATTTATTATTTTAAGAAACGGTCTCAGCCAGGTGTGGTGGCTCACGCCTGTAATCCCAGCACTTTGGGAGGCCGAGGTGGGCAGATCACGAGGTCAGATCAAGATCATCCTGGCTAACACGGTGAAACCTCGACTCTACTAAAAATACAAAAAAATTAGCCGGGCGTGGTGGCGGGCGCCTGTAGTCCCAGCTACTTGGGAGGCTGAGGCAGGAGAATGGTGTGAATTCTCCTGCCTCAGCCTCCCGAGTAGCTGGAACTACAGGTGCATGCCACCACGCCCAGCTAATGTTTTTATTTTTTTTAGTAGAGACGGGGTTTCACCACGTTAGCCAGGATGGTCTTGATCTCCTAACCTTGTGATCCACCCGCTTCGAACCCTCAAAGTGCTGGGATTACAGGCGTGAGCCACCGTGTCTGGCCCTATTTTTTTGAGACAAAATCTCACTCTGTCACCCGGGCTGGAGTGCAGTGACGTGATCTTGGCTCACTGTAACCTCCACCTCCCAGGTTCAAGTGATTCTCCAGCCTTAGCCTCCCGAGTAGCTGGGACTATAGGTGCGTGCCACCACACCTGGCTAATTTTTTATTTTTTGTAGAGATGGGGTTTTACCATGTTGGCCAGGCTGGTCTCGAATTCCTGACCTCAGGTGATCCACCCGCCTTGGCCTGCCAAAGTGCTGGGATTACAGGCATGAGCCACCGCACTTGGCCGATATTTTTAAAGAAAAACTAACAGGTGATCTTCTGAGGAAAGGGAATGAATTCATTATTTTGAAACTGGATAAATAAGAGAAAAAAAATCAAGTAATTATCTTGTTTTTCCTATATAAACTATAACCGGGTAACTAGTAGATAAGGGGTTCTTTATCAAAATATTTCAGCTAATATGAAAAAATGAAACAACAGAAGTAAAACATCACCATTTTCTTTTTTTTTTTTGAGACACAGTCTTGTTCTGTCACCCAGGCTGGAGTGCGGTGGCATGATCTTGGCTCACTGCCACCTCTGCCTCGCAGCTTCAAGCAATTCTCCTGACTCAGTCTCCTGAGTAGCTGGGACTACAGGCATGTGCCACCATGCGTGGCTAATTTTTTTTTTTTTTTTGAGATGGAGTCTTGCTCTGTCCCCTAGCTGGAGTGCAGTGGTACGATCTCAGCTCACTGCAAGCTCCGCCTCCTGGGTTCACACCATTCTCCTGCCTCAGCCTCCCGAGTAGCTGGGACTACAGGCGCCTACCACCACGTCTGGCTAATTTTTTGCATTTTTAGTAGAGACAGCGTTTCACTGTGTTAGCCAGAATGGTCTCAATCTCCTGACCTCATGATCCATGTGCGGCTAATTTTTTTTTATTTTTAGTAGAGCTGGGGTTTCACCATGTTGGCCAGACTGGTCTTGAACTCCTGATTTCAAGTGATCTACCCTCCTCGGCCTCCCAAAGTGTTGTGATTACAGGTGTGAGCCACTACGCCCGGCCAGTATCACCATTTCTATCCCCCAAAGATTCAATGGGTCTAGGCATTGAGCATCCACAGCTGCTAAAACAAACAAAAACAAAGCAAAAAGCAAACATATGTGCCTACGTGGATCTAGAGCCTTGCCAAAAGAATCAAACAGGATCTGGATCAAGTAGCCTGTGGATCTAGCTGCCAATGTGCAGCGAGTACAGAGAACACGTTAAACTACAGCATAAACATGTGCAAAACCCAAACTGTTAGAAACTCTATGGGTGAAATGTGCCAGATTGTTTTAACAGATAAACTGTAAGGAAGTCAACTCCAAAATATGGAAGGGGAGCCTGAAGATAGATAGATAGATAGATAGATAGATAGGAGAGAGAGAGAGAGAGAGAGAGAGAGAGAGAGAGAGAGAGAGAGAAAAAAAAAAAAAAAAAAAAAAGGCCGGGCATGGTGCCTCACGCCTGTAATCCCAGCACTTTGAGAAGCCGAGGCGGGTGGATTGCCTGAGGTCAGGAGTTTGAGACCAGCCTGACCAATATGGTGAAACCCTGTCTCTACTAAAAATACAAAAATTAGCCGGGTACGGTGGTGTGCGCCTGCGGTCCCAGCTACTCGCCAGGCTGAGGGAGAATTACTTGAACCCAGGAGGCAGAGGTTGCAGTGAGCCGACATCACGCCACTGCACTCCAGCCTGGGCGACAGAGTGACACTCCATCTCAAAAAAAAAAAAAAAAAAAATCAAAAGTTGTTTAAGGCAAGTACGTTATTGGGGCAACTAGGGAAATTTGAACATGGGCCATATATTAGATAACATTTGTGTAAATAATGAAGTGTCAACTTTCCTGAGTACAATAACAGTATTGTGATTATATAAATGAATGTCCACGTTCTTTGGAAATACATGCTGAATTAGATACAAATGGAAAATGCAATGATATCTACAATTCATTCTCAAATGGTTCAGGAAAATAAAATATACTCGTGTGTATTAACACCATGCATAGGTAAAAAATAGATTATGCAAATGTAGCAAATGTTAGTGAATCTAAGTGAAGGGTATATTCATTGTACTAGTCCTGCATCTGATTTGTAGTTTTAAAATTTTCTCAAAATGAAAATTGGGAAATAAAGTAAAGCCACATACACATATACTCCACAATGAAAAACTCTTTTAAAGTTACCAGACTGGCAAAAATGGAAACAATTACTTGGCATCATCTAGTAAAACTGAAGATATGCAGACCTTATGAATCAGGAACCCTGGTCTAGAAAAACTGTTCACAAATTATGAAGCCATGCTGTGTTGTAATAGTAATATACTGAAACCCACCCAAGGAGCCACGAACATGGGTATTTTCCCATAAAGAAAATATGACCAGGCACGGTGGCTCATGCCTGTAATCCCAGCACTTTGGGAGGCCGAGGAAGGCGGATCACCTGAGGTTAGGAGTTTGAGACCAGCCTGACCAACATGGTAAAACCCTGTCTCTACTAAAAATACAAAAATTAGCCAGGGATGGTGGCGCATGCCTGTAGTCCCAGCTACTCAGGAGGCTGAGGTGGGAGAATTGTTTGAACCCAGCAGGCGGAAGTTGCAGTGAGTCATGATTGCACCACCACACTCCAGCCTGAGCAACAGAGTGAGACTCCTAAAAACAAAAACAAAAACAAAACAAAACAAAAACACAAAGAAAACAGTCTACAGCAGTGAAAATGAATGCACTGCTGCCATACATAACCCATAAACAAAATGTTAAGGGAACAAAACAAGTTGCAAAACAATATGTAGTAAGACCCACCTAGATAAACTTATATATATATAATATGTTTATTTAGACTTAAATTTGGTATATTTTTATAAAGGCAAAACCAGGCAGGCTCAACTACAGTATTTCAGAATATATACATATATGGTTAAACTGGAAGAAAAGTTTAAAGAAAAACAAGGGG